AAAGAGCCCGCTCATCAAACCAGGCCAGGTCCTAAAGCTCCAAAACAGGGCAGCAGGTCTAATTGACACAGTAAAGGGCCTCCCACCCTGGCCTTCAATTAGTGAAACAAAAGGACCAGAGTGGGAGGTGAAGGTATAATTAAAGCACAAGGAGCAGACCCTGAAGCTGTCAGCCTGGGGGGGGCTGGCTGGTGGCAGAGAGAGGGGCTGGAGCAGGTATCTGGAGACCCCACCTCTCTCTTCTGGCTCTGCTGCATGCTCCCGGTGTGACATGATACAAGTCACGGGTCCCCATCTGCGCAGTGGGTGTGGGACAGCCTGCGTGGTGGGTTTGTAAGCGCATCGGGGTCCCACAGACCAAAGGGGTTTCAACCTTATCCCCATTTTCACAGACACCTGTGACGCAAAACCCAATCCATAGCACTCATCTCTTCCCCACAGCTCGTGACCACCAGCCCCCGGCCTGTGCTGGTCTCACTGGTCACCGTCAGCAATCCCCCCATTCGAGGGTGATCTCTACCTCTGCTTGTCGGTGGGTCTTGAGGCGTCTGAATAGACCAGTCCTTGAGCCACAGATGTCGGCGGAAGGTGCAGGTCTTTCTGCAGGGGAGAGCAGGCTGCCGGCTGGGATTCCTCTTCTTTCCCTTCCTCCGCTCTCTTTTCTCTGCTTTGAGGACACTTCACCTCGACACGGGCTGCCGCCTGGCTGAGGCGGTGGCTGCGGAGCTATTGGAGACTCCCCTGTAAGAGCCAGGTGGCTTCTGTGAAGTTATGGAAGTGCAGGGCAGGGCTGGACAATCATCTTTCCCCTGTCGAGTCTGCTAGGGACTTACGGTTCCCTCTCTTAACGAGACAGCAGCTGCCCAGCCGGTGCGGTGAGTGCCTCTGTATGGCCAAGGGTACCCGAATGGACTCCCCCACACGGCTTCTCGGTCGTTCCCCATGTCCCAGGCGTAGAGGCTGGAGCCCAGCTTGTGTTCCCACCCCCCAATGCCATGCAAGCCTGGCAGACTTGTGCTTGTTGCTCCTCTCTCCTGTTTCCAGCACACGTGCAGTTTAAACAGGGAGAGGGCCACAAGTACCTGCAGTGAGTGACCTGTTTCTCTTTGGGTTCCTGGCCTCACGCCGGCCTCCAGGCCCCTCACATGCTGCATCACGGGCAGGATTTCGAAGTGAGAGGAAGAGGTGTGAGGGGAAGGAAGAAGAGTCAGGAGCTGCTGGGAACGGACCCAGCTTTCCCATCTCCCCCGTGGTGTGGCCGAGACGTGTCAGCTGCCCCTGGTGTCTCGAGCGGCCTTGGTGCAAGCCCCCAGAGACCCGGGGGACGTCAGCGCGAGGTCTCTTGAACGGACACTGTCTGTGCGGTGCCCGCTCATCCCGGCTGGAACGTACCGTGCATTCACCTGGCACGCGGGTGCTGCTCTTCCTCTGCACGTGCCTGGCTGAGTGCCGGGGGCGCAGACAGACAGACACACAGCCAGTGTTGGAAATACTCCCTTTATTCAGACGTAGCTCTGAAGCCGAGCAGGAAGGGAGCGACAACAGGCCAGCGACTGCCAATGCAGGGTCTCTGGCTGGCGGCTGCGCTGCCTTCATACAACGGCCCGAACCCGCTGGGGTTAGATCTCCATCAGCTGCTCGGTGCCCACGATCACCTCGTTGACGTGTTTGGCTGAAAGACAAAGAGAGCCAAGGGGAGTTAGGCCCCACTGCCAGCCAAGCCCTTGAGCGAACGAGCGGCCAGCACCTTTGAAAGCTGGGCTGTGGCTTTCGCCGCCCCCGGCCTGGCCCCCACCTCCACTACTGACCACCCCTGAGGGCTGACCTGCAGGAAGAGCTGAAAGAGCAGAAGCTCAGGGGAAGTTCTGGCTGCAGCTGCCAGGGGAGGGTGTCCACAGCAGAGATACAGACCTGCATGCTCGAGGTCGCAGCACCCGTGTGGAAACTGAGGCACAGCCATCTGGCATGAGCTCACAGAGTGCCAGGTGCTCTCAATGCCCGGGGCTAATGACGACCAGCACCATGGCAGGATGAGGCTGGTAGCCACCAAGTGACCCACTGAGATCTCAGGAGACTCCAGGCACCAAAGGAAATGCTATGGCTTCTTCCCCAGCTCCCCCCCCGGCATCCAGACCCCCAGGTAGGCTCTCCCCAGCGGCTCTCTGGGCAATGCCTCAAGCCACAGCCAGCCCGCCCATAACCAGAGCGGCCCAGCCTCTGCCGGGCTGTCGGGGAAGGAAGCTCTGAGACCGGGGCTGCTGTGGATGGCTACGGAGGGACCCTTTGCAGCCTTGCACAGGTTCAGGGAACGGGTCTGTCAAACCACAGGAGGGGAGAAGGGGGCATGGGAGACAACGACACGGCCGTGGTCCACCAAGACCTCCTGGCTGCTGCTGCCAGACAGACGCCGGTGACCCCGGGAGACACCGGACTGTCAAAGAGCCGCCCCCCTACATGGCACCTCTGCTGCTCCGGCTTGGGCGTCAGCGCACCAGGCAGGCACCGGGGAAACTCCCCTGCTGTGCCTCTGCTAACAGCGGAGAGCCCCTGCCCACAGCACTGGCTCTTCTGCCCTCCAGCTGGACCCCGCATGGCTTTGCTAACCTGCCTGGGGTGCCCCTGGCTAGTCCAGGCCTAGCTCTATCCTTCCCAGGACACCAGCCAGGCCCCGGGGGCTCCCCCAGCTCTCCCAAGCAGCCTGCAGAGCAGAGGGCGGCTGCGATACAGGGGGGAGCTGGCGAGGGTCCAGCAAGGAAATTATGCTCTGCTCCTGCAGGCTCGACGCACCTTCCCCAGGGCACGTGTTACCTACGTGGGAACCCATCGCAGACCCCGTCACCTCCTGCCCCGCACAGGGCATGCTCTGCCCTGCCACGGCTCCCAGCTGCTTACCACTTCCTTCCTGCGTGCGGCCAGGCGCGTTCGGCCTGCTGCAATGGTGCGCAGGACCTCCCTTCCCACGTACTCGGGAGATGGAGAGCCCAAGTGACCTGCCCGTGGCTCTGTGGTCTAACAGCGGCATGGCAGAGAAGGGCTCCCTGCTCTTCGCTCTGGCTGCCAAAGTACCCTACTTGTCTCACCAAAGAGTCACCAACCGACCGCCTGCCTCACGCTGATGGCTTGGCTGTGCTGAGCGCCAGGACATGGCTCCTACTGCCCTGCTTGGGCCTCCCTGCTTTATCACGCCCCAACCCAAAGCCGCTAGTCTCTGTTTCACCCAGACAAGGTGGAGAACCCAAGCCCCGAAAGCTGTGGGCCTGGGTGGGTCCGACTCCTGGTCACACAAGTGCCAGACACTGGGTGCTGATGTGTGCATCTAGGGGGAAAGTCCTGCATGCAGGCAGGAGGGAGCTACGCTGCAGGGAGCATCTCGTTAGCAGCCGTGCGGGGCTCAGGGTGGTCCCTGGAGCTCTGGGGTGTAGGGGTGTGTGGAAGGGGGAGTGCCCTGCACACTCAGTCCCCCCACACTCCCCTCTCCTTTCCCCTGTGGAGGTTTCTTACCATGCTGCCTGTCCTCTGGCCCTGCCAGGGTTACAGATGCATTCGGAGCACAGAGAAAGGGGGATTAAAGACAAGGGGCTCTGAGACAGCCTCTGACTTGGGCTCAGGTCACAGTCAGCCAGATCCTCTGAGCCCCGAGCTGATCAGACCCGCTCAGTGCTCTGCTCCTGCCAGGCTGGGGGCTCGACCGAATGGCACGGCCCCTTGGCGCACGCCTGCCTGCGTACACACATTGGCTGGACTTGCCCGCGTGTGCCCAGGGGAAAGCCAGGACGCCAGTCCCGCTTCTCAGCTCCCCTGACCGGCGGCAGAAAGGACTCAAGGCCCTTGCACAAGTTTGGAGGCCAAGTGTGCTCCTGGGGCTCCTGCTGGAAAGGGGACAGCACAGCGTCCTGGCGAGGGCCCCGTGAAAGCATCTCCTTGTTGTTTGCTCAATTAGCCCCAGACAGATTGCTGCTTCTGCTGCTGCTGCTGGGTGGTGCCGAGGCTCCCTTGTAAAGGAAGGGGAGGGGGAGAGAAGGGAAGGGGGAAAAAAAAAAAAAAAGGTTAGGGCCAGGGCCCGGGACCACCAGGAAGCTGCAGGCCTCGGGGGCTCCAGCAGACGTTCAGTTTACTCACTCAATTACATACCCTGTTTTATAAACCCTTTAAAATAAAATAGAAAACAGTCCCTGGCACAGAATTACTGCTCTATTATGCAGCAGTGATGAAAGCCACTGCTGTGTATTTGCTCTCTTTCAAGCAGGAGATAGTTTAACTTTAAAAAAAAAAGAGGGCAAGGAGGGGAGAGGGGGGGACAGAGAAACACACGCACGAAACACGCTGTGGGTGGCTCCTGCCGCGCTTCCCCAGACAGCAGGAGGGGCGCAGGAGAGAAGAGCGGCCTGTGTCTGTGCGGAGCCGGGGAGGGGGTCGCCTGCTGGGGGGTGGGAGGGGAAGGGAGGCAGCTGCAGCTCCGCTTAGGAAGGTGGGGCACGTCCGGAAGGGGAGATAAAGCAGGGGAGCAGGTGGTGGGGCCGGTCGGTTTGTGCTCTCGAGCAGCAGGGCACTCCTGGCGAGGCCTGCTCAACGTCCCCGGACGTGATCCACGCGACGCGTAGATTGGGGTGGCCAAAGCGTGGTCCCGAAAGCCTCAAGTGGCCGGCAGAGACCACGGGTGCGATGGTGCACCTCAAGCCGAGTGGCCTGACTGCCTAAAGCTGGGCTCCCTGAGGTCCTTCCGCTAGTTCAGAGCTGAGGTCGGGGCCCACCAGGAAAGGAAAAGACATGATGATGGGAAGAAAGGGGAGGAGAGATGGGTTCAGAGAATCGTAGAGCCGTGGGGCTGGAAGGGACCTGCAGAGATCACATCTAGTTCAAGCCCTGCCTGAGGCAGGACCAGCCCCGTGCAAACCAGCCCAGACAAACCATCATCTAAAGTCTTCGTTTAAGGACCGTCATCCCTACCACAGCACCAGACACCACAGCCGAACCTGCCCCAGGGAAAGCATGGGGATCGCGGCGGCCACCGTCCTGCTGCAGGCAAGGTTGTTAGTATCCGCTCCACAGACCCCAGGCAGAGGCTGTGCCCCTGCTGCAGAGGAAGGCAAAACCCCCCAGTCTGGACCAGTCTGTCCAGGGGGTAAAATCCCTTCCTGCCCCCAGTGCAGCACATCGGTCTGAGCCTGAGCACAGGGGCAAGACCCTCCAGCCAGGACCCTGTGCTCAGCACTGCCGCGCCTCAGTTTCTTAACCCCTTCATGTGTGATGCACCGGGGATGCGGGAGGGGCTGGGGTGGAAGGTGCCCTAGCAGGGAGGAAGAAGACAGAACTAAGAGGTGAAGCAAGAGGTGAAGCATCCTCAAGTGGCAGGATGTCCCATGGGGGTGGAGGAGCTGCAGAGCAAAGGTCTCTGGGAAACTGGAGGAGTCTGATCTCCTGGGGTCTGAGCAGGAGGCAACGGGTACGTCCTCAACCTGCCCTGGGCAAGCTGTGGGGAGAGTTGGCCTCCTGCACCCACGCAAAACATGGGGCCGATGGGGTTGAGGAGGAGAATGGGACATCCACGAAGGAGATGTGACACCGTCTCTCGGCAGCACTGGGACATGACTCCCCACTGCCTGCCTGCACTTCACGAGCGTGCAGAGGGGTGCATGCAGTCCCTTCTCTGTGCAGATGGGTGTCAGGGGTGCCCCGTGGTTCTTCGCGTGGCTGCGCTCCAGCAGAGTGTGTGGCTGCTCTCCCCAGATGGGGCCTGCAAGACTTTCCACGAGGTTCAGCGCCACAAGTGACCAGTGGGCCAAGAACCTGGCGCTCAGCTAACCGCTTTGGCACCAGCAGCTGGACTGTTCCCAGCGGAGCATCCTGGTGTGAGCAGCCGGGGGGCTCTGACGACTGGCGTTAACTCAGTGGACGGGCGAGGGAACTTGGTCGGCACCAGCGAAGGCCAAAACCCATAAACCATTTTTAAACGCCTGTTTGGAAGACAATGGCAGAAGGATCAGTGAGTAACGTGCTGGTGACACAGGGATGATGTCTGCGACACACAGGCTTTCGCTGCCAAGTCCTGCCTCTGGCGGGGTAGTTAAAGCAGTTCAAGGGATGCATCTCCATCTCAGCTAGGAGTTTGCTCCATTCTTGCACCATCCCTGGCCCTTCCTGAGCTACGTCCTTGTGCAAACTGTTTAGTTGGGAGTTTGTTCCCGCCGGGATCTCTGGGGAGTGCAGCTTTTCGTACACCAGCGAGTGCTCTGTTTCCAAATCTGGAGCCAGGGGAGTGCTTGGTGCCCTCAGTCCCATCTTGCAGATCAGACCCTCCAGGACAGGAGCTTTGCTTGAATGCAGAATGGCTTTGGTACAAGAGCCAGGACAGGAGCTTTGCTTGAATGCAGAATGATTTTGGTACAAGACCAGCCAGTGTGCTCCCCACCCTACCTTCCCTGTCCTTGCCCTTCCGTCCACACAGTGCTGATGGCTGCTGATGTCAGAGGTGAAGGGCCCCATACCTGCTGCTTGGCCCCTTATTCCAAGGATTTACTCCAGCGGCTTTGCTGAGCAGCTCTTGTGGCTCGAACTTGGGAGCTAGAACCTGGAACTGGGTGGGGAAGAGTACCTTGTCCTGCCCCTGGGAAGAAATGTGCACTTCTGACTGAGTTTCAGGTCTCTGAAAAGTCTCTGCAGCCACCTGTTCAGTAGAAACCCATTAGTGTGGCAGCTAAATTCTCCAGAGAGGATGCCTGCACTGAATGGGTTTCCAACCTGGTATTACAGCTACAGATGACTGAGGCCCAGGTACAGGAAGCGACAGCAGGGAGTCTATCTGTCCTGATCCCTTCGTACTCCCTCTGTTGGGGTCCAGGCAAAGAAGGAAGCCTTGAATGGAGAGAGGGGGCAAGGGTTTGACTGTGGCAAAGGGAACGGATGGGGACAAGAGGTTGGGGGGTGAAGAGGAAGGTGCTGGGATTGCCAAGCAGGCAAGGTGGGGGCGCCTGCCTTCAGGTGAGGGGCTTGGGGACACGTATGGGAAGCACCAAGAAAGGAGACTGGAATAAGGAGCCCCATCAGGGCAAAGGCTGCAATGCGGAGCCCAAACATGAAGGCTGGGACAGGGATGGAGAGCCTCGAAGGTGGAGACGAGGTCTGGGACCGGGAGCTGCAAGGAGGTGAGGAAGACAGATGCATGGGGTAAGTTGGAGGGGACAGGGCTGAGGCTCTGTGACTCCTCAAGCACCTGCTCCTCCAGACCTGGGATGGGAACCCAGGTGTCCTGAAGCTGCAACGTCCTGCTGTCAAACCTGCCGGCATGGAGCCTCCCTCATCTCCTTCTTGGACAGACCCACGCTGAAGGCGACCCCTGCTATGGCTATGCCCTTTGCTCCACTGGCAACGATCTGCGCAGTAAATAAACCTGCCAATGACCCACTCAAGGGCCTGTGTGGTCCATGGGAGAGAACGAAGTGTTCTTAGTTTCCTTTTTTTTAACATAAAAAAGATATGTCCAGAACCGGCAGGAAGAGAACAGCCAAGCTGTGAAGTCCAGCACAAAGCAGCTGGGAAAAGCCAGATCTAAAGCCTGCCTGGACGGCTTCAACTGGGCTGTGCAGCACCTCACAACCAGGGTCCTGGCTCACAGCGACAGCTCCTTGAGGTGTCTATAATGCAAACAGTGCCGCTGTGGATGAACATGTCCAGGGACTGGGGGACAAACGCAGCTCAGGCAGGAAGCCTCAGTTCCAGCCTCTCTCCCCCATGGAGCGGTTGTTTCCCAGCCCTAGTGCTGTCCCTGGCAGGCAAGTCTGTGCGCCGTTCCAAAAGCCAAAGTTACAGCCCGGGACTCTGCCCCTAGGTCTTCCCGGGCCAAGAGCCCGGGTGCCTCGGAGAACCGGGCCCGAGTGTTCAGCATGTGTTTTGCTAATTCCGCGCTGTGTGTGTCTCTGTCATCTCTTTTGTTAACATTGCTTCGGAGGGAGTTTCTGCCAATTTACCACTTAAGTCTGTTTTATGACTAATTTGTCCCAGATGTGCAGCTTACTCCCTGCTGGATTTGGCTCCGAGACGCCTTCTTGGGAGTTGCACCCACTCAGCTCTGGGGTTCGTGTGGCAGCCTGCAGGCCCGGCCAGCTTCCTGGAGACCCCCGTGCAGCTTTCCCTCCCTCTCGGCCTGCAGCATCTCCCTGGTGAGGAAACGTCTGGCAGCGCACGTTTCTCGTGGGCTCATCTTCAAGAGCAGGTTAACAAGGAGCAGAGCTCGAACCCTAATGGCAGAGGCTGGGAAACAATGGGTGATCCAAAGCCTGGTGTAATTACATTCTCCCACAATTGCTGCCTGACATTTCCTACCCCTCTAGCAACTCCCTCCCTCTTCTTAGGGACCTGCGTTTCTTTCAAACCACTGCTTGAGTGCGGGAGCTTTCTTAAAGCCTGGATGTTAATGATCTGCTAGCAAACACCCTACATTAAAGTATCAGTGAGGAAGGAGAGTTTCCTAAAGCTGGTAATAACAGCAGGCAGCTGCGGCAAGGCAGAACCGCCAGGCAGCGCCCGCCTGCACCCAACGCCTACCAAGGACTGTGCTGTCGCCTCATGCCCCGGTGTGTAACACTGGCACTGGGGTATCCCACCTTGGCTCACCAGAGCTCAAGGCAGAACTGGGAGCCTGGCACGGGCAATAGTATGACCCTATGTGCCCCTAATTCTCTCCATCTGCAGAGAACGGCAGTGATGGGAGGCAGTGGGCTGCATCTGACAGATCCCTATGGCCAGAGGAGGATAAGTCTCTGGGGCTCTGCCCAGCCTGTTATTAAGCAGGGGGGGGGGGAGATGATGCCTCAGCCTAAATTGTGTCTCGCTCGGTCCTGTTACTCAGCTGTGCCATTTGGACCACCACACGTGGGCTCCTCCCTCCCACTCTCTCTGCAACAGGCAGGCGAGGAGCTGGGCTGCATGTGCAGGTAGCGGGGTGCCCTTCTCATGTGTACCTGCAAAGGGGGCTCCAAAAGGGGCACCAAACAGCGTTGCTTCAGCAGTGTGCTCAGGAGAGTGGCAAGCTTCTAGCACTGCAGCGAGGCAACCCAGCTTTGCTGTCAGTTCAGAAGAAGGCTATGGTTTGGGAAATGCAGGCACCTCCAAGAATCCTGGCTGGCGTTCCCAAGCTAGGAAGCCCTGTGAATACACACTCACCTTTGCTGGAAAGGCTGCTGGCTGGCTGCTCTGAGACCAAGGGCAAGAGCTAGTCCTTAAATCATAGCAGGGGCCGACTGGGCTGGAAGCCGCTTGGTATAAAGGAAGCTCTTGCCCAGGGGGACTGTTTTTTTCTGGCTGGCCCTTACCTGCCGGTGCTGGTGGCACTGGGGAGGGAAACCTGAGTGCTGCCATGGGACTAACACCAAATGCCTGCGCGTGCACAGCCCATGTGTTGGGGCCGGGAAGAAGTCAAATCTAGGCTACAAAAACAAAGCAAGCAAATGGCCCTGGCCGGACCGAACGACCACAAAGACTCCGGCAAGAAACTCACTTTTGTCATCACTCTGCACCCTGCAGCTGAGATCTGCCAAACCCCAACCCATGAATATTAATTCAAAAGCCCTTTTCTAGAGATAGGATCACTTAGACAGTCCGTCCCTTGTCATCCAGTCGGGCAGGCAATCAACAAGCCCGGCTGTGGGAGCTGCCAACATCTTTGTACTAACAACTTGATTGGATGTCCTAGCTCTGTCCACACGGAAGCCACATTTTGGTAACTTCCCCAGAGCCAAAAGTTTGCATTTAATTTGCATTGCATGGAGCTGATTGCAGCTGCTCTTGTACTGCGTACTGAGCACACTGGGTTCCAGTGTGTAATGCGCTATCCTGAGCCTGATGCCTTGTGGTTGGTCACGATGGAGGGGACGTGCTGGTACCTGCAGTGCTTTCAAGTGGGGGGTGGGGGAAAGGGGGCTGCCCTTCTTAAGACAGCAAGCAGCATCTGACACCCTGACACAGACAACAACTGTGGCTTAAGGACAACCTAATCATGGTCTCTGGTAAGAGACTCTTAGAAGGCCAAGCCCTTCATGCTGTCATTGGGAGTCTTGCTTCTGACAATCACCCACTCTTTGTTCCAGTGGGCGCAGCCACAAAATCTGACCCCCCTATTACAGGATATTGTGACAGAAGAGCAGTATCAGCCCATCAGCTTATTGATGGAGATGGAGCAAGGAGAAAAGCCCAAGTGCCTTAAAAATACAACTTGCTGCTTACATCTGGGGTCCAGATGCTGGCCGCTGCCGATCAAACAGTCCTTGATGTCGGAGCCTTTCCCTATCACCGCGTGATGGCAGAGGACGCTGTTCTGGAGGCTGCACCTGCAATACAAACACAAACAGGAGTTAGACACCCAGCGAATCCAGAGGGATGAGTGGATGTGGGAGCTTTCCCCAGAGCTTCTATCGAGCCCATCCTACAGACAGATCTAGCTGTGATGCTCCCTGTTCTCTCCTACATTTCCCCCGTTCCTCCTCTCTTGCCCTGCTCCTTGTGCTTGATGCTATGACAGAAGCTGTCAGCCTCGTGCTGCAGTCAGAAAGGAAAACAGAAGGTCAGAAATGAAGAAGAGAACTGGAAATCAAGCAGAAAATGCCATCATGCCCCTTTATCAACCCAGGGTGTGACTACGCCATTCACCCTGCATGCAGTTCTGGGCCTCACCCCCCTGCAAAAGGATGTCAGAGAGGTAGAAAAGGCCCAGAGAAGGACACCGAGGAATGATTTCAGGATCCTCGAGAGGCTTCCATTCGAGGAGAGACTTTTCCATTCGAGGCCAGGACTTTTCATAGAAAATGAGGGTTGGAAGGGACCTCAGGAGGTCACGTCTAATCCAACCCCCTCCAGCCCCAACTGCACCATCAACTGCTGGAAGAGACAACAGCGCAGGATATGAATGGCTTGTAGAAAGCAAGTAGGGATTATAGAGTTACTATCTCTCATGATACTAGAGCTAGGGGACACAACGTGTACTCGTGTTGTGGACCCAATTGCCACAGGATGGTGAGGGGCCTGGTCATTTAACTGGATTCAAAAGGGGATTGAACAAATTCATGAAGACGGGGTCCATCAGTGGGTGTCTGATGTGACAGTTGCGGCTGCAACCCTCATGTTAGGACTGTCTGGGCCTCTGAAAGCCAGACGCTTTAAGGGGAAGGGGCAGGAGGTGGATCAGTCTGGATAGGCATCTGTTCTGTGCTCCTGTGACAGGCAGGAGACTGGGGCCCGACCCAGCACATTTCTTATGTCTTGACCATAATGCTAGCTCTCCAGTGGGCCCACAAAGAAGGTTTTCCAGCTTGCCCTCCCCCAGCGTAGGTCTAGCGGAGAGGCAGATGAACTGTGATGAAGCTACAAACCCATGGAAGGGGTGAACTATGAGGATAGGGCCCTAGGCCGGGCTTCAGCATTTGCTGGGGAATCGCATGGACATTCACCGTCCCTCTGGTTGTCAGAGAGAGGCACCCCCACCACTCCTCCTTGCACACCAGCCCGATGACCTCCTTCTCCCTCTCTTCTGGCTCGCACATCACCAGCAGGGACGTGGAGTCTGCCCTCGAGCTCGCATCCTCATTCTGTTGCTGACGCGTGAGTCAGAGTTGATTCCAGGTCCCATGCGGAGAGCAGCATCGCTGCTAGAGCGTTGCAAAGGAAGCGAGAGTAGTCAAAGCTCGCTGCAGTCCTTCAGGTTGGCAGACAGCGTGGTGCAGGGACACCTGGGACAAGCAGGCAACTGCAGGAAGGCTCTAGGCGAACAGCCATGGTGGAGCTATCCAGCTCGGGTCTCCTGGACGGGCTTTGACTCCAGCATTCATAAGAAAAACCAAAGGAAAAACACAAGGGGCAGATGCTGTGCTGTCTGCCTCTCCTCCATCCTGCCAAACGCATCCTATGCAGCAGCTCAGTCAAGCGAGGGACCAACTTGCTCAGAAGACTGCACGGTGCTGCTGCAACTTTGGTGCGAGTGGCAAGATGGCTGCGGAGATGCCCCTCCACCACGACAATTTGCAAGCAATGGGCATATGACGTGAAAGAGCCTGATCAGCGATGGGTTCACGCTGTCCAGGCCACGAGGGCCTCAAACAGGGCCTCACCCTTTGGGTGCCCACCATCTAAAACTTCCATGCGCTGCAAGAGGTGCCGCAGGGGCTGGGCATCTCTCAGGGTCAGGCCAGCGGTTTGCAAGCCATCGCCACCACTGAGTAGCACGGCCATCAGAGAAGAGATTTTAAGACGGGGCTTCTGGGACCCTTGACGGAGAATCCTGGCTCTGAGCTGAGAGCGAAGCTTGGAAGTAGCTTTTTCAGGTCTCGAGAGGAAAGGATATCCCTGCAGCCAGCACGCTGCTAATGTTGCTATTCTCTTTGCATTAGAGATAAGCTGTTTTCTTGCCAAACAGCGTGTGCCTATGGTGGATAGGACACGTTAGTGCCCGAGAACCAAGAGAAATTCCATCACAAACCAGGGGAAACCACCCATCTTCAGTGCTACTGTACAAAAAACCCACGTTACTGTCCCCCGGGGATGCTTCTCGACCCAACCGCCGGGATTTTTAAAATCATGCAATCCCGAGCGTGTTCCTGCCATCACACAACGGAGTGGCAGATCCGGTTTTTATTGCTCAAACAGAACAAAACTCCAGGAGATAAAAACATGATTTGTGGGTGTTCCTTCCACCCGCTGACAGATATAACATAGGCATTTTGAAACCACTTGTAAATGCCTTTTTTTTTTAAGTATGCTACAAAGCCTGCCAAGAGAAGTATTTTCTATGTTTATTTTTATTTTTTTCATTTAAAGAGCGAGGAATGAACTTTAATTCTCTGCAGGGTAAATGTCACATCTCATGACAGTCTCTTGTATTCTCTTTAAATCTATGGCCACTGCATCTCCTGGCTGTTTTGAATACGAGGTGCCATTAATCGCAGAGGGAGCTCCGACTGCATTCTGCTTCATGGACGGGGGGGGACGTGTGCGCATGCTCAGAGTTGATGTACTGGCATCTAATGCAAACCATATTTTTCCCCCCCTAAAATGCAGTGTATTTTTAAACTTTCAGCACTGTGGAAATGGATATCTTCTGACCTTTAAAATCCAAGGAGCACGTTCAAACCCGCAAGAGCAACTAATTTGGGGTGTTTGATTTATGGCTGAAATTTCCATGCGAATGTGTTTTCCTGTACACTCGTGCAGCTGGCTGCTTTTCTTGCTTTCTTTCTTTCTTTTTTTTTGGAAAATAAATACAAATATTCGGTGCGCATCTGCGTCGGAGAGCGTGAGCGGTTTTACAAGCCCGGTCCTGTAGTGGTAACAGATGTTGATGTCGGCTGGCAAAGACGAGCTAATTTGTTATACAGGTACAACGTGCGAGCAAGGGGGTCTGTGTATCCCAGAGACAGAGAGGCTGACTTTGTTTAAAAAAAAACAAAACCGAAGAGATGGAACGAGGGCAAGAGGAGTAACGGCCAAGAAGGGTGGGGGGATTACAAGGATCTCGGTCTTTAAACGGGAGACCACCTAACGAGATCACTCTGCAACGCCACTAATTTCAGTAAGGCCACAGACCCCCCTTCCTGCTCCCATTGTAAACAGCTAATCCCAGCAGAAAACAAGAGCGAGCAGAATGTACACACATTCCAGGCCCTGCTTTATCTTGTATTTATTTTTCTAAAAGGTCAGAGAACGTGCTGGGAGCGGGGGGGGGGGAAGAGAGCCAGAAGACGCCGTCCATCTCTTGTGTGGGCTCAAAGGAAGCCGGGCAAAGGCAATGTCCAAAAACGTATAATATGGAGCTTTTATAGCAGAACAAGTCTGGACGCGGCTTGCTCTCTCCCCCACCCCGTTTGCGGCGAAGTTGCATAGCTCCAAACCAAAAGACAGGGTGGTCGATCGTATTTGAAAGCAATGCAAGGAATTGGGAAAGAATTCCATCTCCTGGCGAAATTATATGGAAGGAAGTTTTAGTCCCAGAGACAGGCTGATTTACGTTGCCCTGGAACTGCTGGCTTTCAGGCCGGCTATCAGTCTATAAATCAAACGTCTCGATGGCCGTTGCAACGAGCTACTTAACAAAAGCAAAGCATGTACCACCTAAGGTTGCTGGATCACCCGAGAACAGAGAGGCTGTATTCCTCTTAACCTTGCCACATGTAAATCGGAGATCAAACGCGCTTTTGGGGAGTGGGAGATCAAAATATGCCATGCTCAGCACACAGGGAACTGGCTGCAGGAATCCAAAACACAACCCCGTAATTACAGGCTACCCGCTGATTATTTAGGGCTCCGTGATTAAAGCAATGAACGCTCCTGGAAGAAAGCAGCTTAAGTAACTGAGGTCAAGACCCGAAGTGGAGCTCTGGCCCCGAGACTTGCGGGCGTAGCAAGGTATGGATGTCGCAGGTTTGCTTCGCAGCCAATCTCCTGAAATGGAGACGAGGCAGTGCGGGCTCTTAGCTTAATCCAGCTGTGCAGAGGAAAGGCATCGCTGTTGACGAGCGATGAGGCAATAAACCAACCGTTTAATGTGCAACAGTGGAAAGCTGTGGACTCGGAGCCCAAGGGACGGGAAGGCAGCACGGTGCCTAAAGCCCGAAGCTTGGGGAGCCCAAGTCTCTTGCTCCGCTGGGCGAGCAGAGGGTGGGAGGCTGTGGAAGAAATGATTCAAGGTCTCTAAGGCCTCATGTTCAACACCTGTGCTGGTAACTGCATCAAGGGACCGCTGACATCTCTCTTGCCCTTGGCTCCCAAGGGTCTTGGACCAACAGACCACTGTCAACTGTGGAGAAGCTTGAGAGAGTCCAGAGAAGAGCCACGCACATGATCAGAGGTCAGGGAAGCAGACCCTACGATGACAGGCTGAGAGCCCTGGGGCTCTTTAGCCTGGAAAAGCGCAGGCTCAGGGGTGATCTGATGGCCACCTACAAGTTTATCAGGGGTGACCACCAGCATCTGGGGGAACGTTTGTTCACCAGAGCGCCCCAAGGGATGACGAGGTTGAATGGTCACAAACTACTTCAAGACCGTTTCAGGCTGGACGTAAGGAAGAACTTCTTTACTGTCCGAGCCCCCAAGGTCTGGAACAGCCTGCCACCGGAGGTGGTTCAAGCGCCTTCATTGAACACCTTCAAGATGAAACTGGATGCTTATCTTGCTGGGATCCTATGACCCCAGCTGACTTCCTGCCCTTCGGGCAGGGGGCTGGACTCGATGATCTTCCGAGGTCCCTTCCAGCCCTGATGTCTATGAAATCTATGAAACCCCCGATGCTTCTCATAGACAACCGCATGCCACGTCATCAAGCTTCTCACTGAAATTGGGGTGG